AAGAGGAGACTGGACGGGCACCTGGCTGGGGTCTTATGACCCTGCCACCCCCAGTGTCATTCCTGCCCACGGCGGGGGGTCGGAACCGATGGTCTGTCTAGGTCCCTTCTGACTCATTGATTCTATGAAGCATCAACAATGCAGAGGCATACATGGCAATTACTACTTAGGGCTCAACGTTTAGTCTACACCCTTAGAAAATCTGGGTCATGAGCTTCGTGAATTACTACATAACTGCAAAAGAATCATAATGGGAGGACTTCAGTTCCATCAAATGAACATACTACTGATTTTCTCCCGTTACTCTTCCCGCCCCTGAAAGAACTCAGCGCATAGGAGAAATAACGGAAATCACCACACACATGCACAGAAGCAACTTGGGCAGTCTGATCCTATAATACTTCTGCATGGTATGTCTAGGAAAGACATACTAAGTAGTGGACATAGTAAATGCTCCCAAACTGAGAGCAGAAATTAAGGGGCTTGCCACTTGAAAATGACAGAGGGGAGATACCAACATGATTTGCAGACCTACAAGGAGTGACAGCTGATGACAGTGTGGCATCCATCACATAGTTTAATGTCATGCAGTAAACTCCAGATAATTCACAGTTGTTTGCATTCTGGTGAATTAACCAGACCGGATAATGGTGGCAGGGGATCAGAACAAGAACAAATTAAATTACAGTGGCAAATTATCCCATGGGCAAATCAACTGAATTTGCTATACTCGGGATATATCTTAGCTTGGCTCCTAATGGCTATTTGGTTACTATACAAAGCCAGAACTTTATAATCCTGCCCGACTGCCAGTTTTTGGTACAGATGCATTGGAATAAAATAACTTAGACACTGCAGGGCAGAACCAAGGAGTATTCACAGCTGCAGGGAAGAACTTGTACTGTGGCAACTTTTCTTACCCTTGCCTCTAGCCAGCATTTACAAGTTGTTCATTTACAGTCATGATAAAACCCCATGTTTAAAAACAAGCCTTAACTTGTGTTTTATCATTATGACACAGTTTAGTCCACCACAAAAAGGATGCATTTGTGTTTTGTGTATGTACCTAGCACATGATCATGGAAGCAGGAGGCACCACCCAAGAAGTAATTTTCTCTTGGTGGACACAGATACCAGACAACAACCAAACCAGCTGTAGTGAAAAGTACATCCCATCCCAGACTCAAAGTCATACATGCCAGGCTAGGAAGAAGCTTCAGCTAAGATGTCTTTTGGCCAAGGAGTGAGTGATGAGAATGAAATGAAGCAGCCAGCATGCCTGGGAAAGGCAAGTTCCAAAAGGACCCTTACTTCTAGGAAGGGCTGGTCACTAGTAAAACCCCCTTTTACCGCAGTGTTCTATACTTTGCCAACCTACTGCTCTGTTCTGCAGCGATCCTGCCAAAAGGAGAGAGGGATAAAGAGAGAGAGAATAGTGAGAAGGAGAGTAGCCCTGCTCCATGTCCTGGGGCACATGAAAAAAAACTGTAAAAAGCAAAACCAGGGCTTCCAATAACTTTGAGATAAATGTGTGCATGAGAAGCACTACTGTTATTAATTTTCTGCTACCACAAGAGGACAGTGGCTTGATTCAAAATGTCAGCTTATTGTTCTACCTGAGAATATGGCAGGGGTGAGCAGCAAGCTAGTAAACAAGGCCTTTTAGTAGCTTACTAGTTGCTAGATAAATTGAGAGGGCATTCAGAGATAAGTAAGTAGTAAATTACCTGCATTCACCTGCTGGTGCTAAAAGAAGCCCTGGTAGAGCTGAGACAGATAAGCTGTAAGTCACCCACTTTCCCCAGTTATTTTTGCTAAGAAACTTAGAGGTTTTTTCAAAAGACAGTAACAATTTCTGGTTTTCTCTTTACCATTTACAGGAATCTTCATAGCTTGAAGTGACTTTGCTATAGTGGTAGTTGGCAATCACTAAAATACAGTAATGCAGGACAAACACAACTCTGCTAGCAATTTATTTCTGATGGAACCCCTGTGCTAACAAGGAGAGAGGAAACACTCTTCTAAGGAAGATGGCTGAAACGTTGCTTGAAGGAGGCTCAACATAGTTCTTTGCCTAGCTGAACTGAACACCGTTTGCTTTCAGAGGAAATAAACCCGTGTAAAGTCACTGACAATGCTATTTCTTTCTTGGATTTTAAGGTTCTGATCTTAGTGTCAGAGAAATCCTTAATTACAAAGTGGAAGCCCACAGATGTTTATACAAATGTGCACAAATACAAACTTCTTCCAAGGAGGAAAGACAATGAAAATATACTAGTTACGACTAGAACACCTCAAAGGACAAAGCCAGAAGCCAGGCTTCACACTAGCATGAAGACTGGTTACTCTGGAGAGAGGGCCCAGGTTATACCAGCTACGCTGGAGCAGTGTTAGCTATCTAAGCTCAGAACAGTACATTCTCAAAAAGTTTTGCCTACATCAGAAAGTTCAATGCATGAAGACAGAAACTGGGCAGAGAATGTCCTGCAAAGGACTCAGAAGTGCAGCTGCTTCTTGTTCAGACCTCTCCACTTCCCTAAATAAATTATCTTTTCTATAGTAGGAAAGGCAGGGAAATGTGACATGCACAACATATTATACCTGTAGTTTCATTGCATTTCCCTTTTAAGCATTATGAAGACCAGTGACAATAGAAACCTCACCACTAACATTAACACAAACTTGTACCACCCAATACCATTACGAAAAGCAATGCAAGTTCCTCATAACCATAAAAGCATTTACCTGGTAAGTGAAGCTGCAAAAAGAAGGCATTAATACATTTACAGGAAATTTTAATCCATGGCTACTCTGGATATAAAAGCTAGTAAAATCACCCTCCTCAAAGTTTAACACACCACACAGCAAACAAGCAAAGAAACAGGTTGTGCCTTGCTGCCAGAGCTGCAAGAAAGCATGATGGCCATGATGTTTGACCACAAACACCTCAAATTTGGTTCTCATTGACAATAACTCCTTTCCCCATCACCTTCAAGTACCTGTGCTGTCAAAGGTCAAGTGGACACTGTTGAAATGTCCATCTCGCAGTAGTATAAAAACTGGTATTGTTTTCTGCCACCAGGTACTGTCAACATTACCACCTTCCCCTCCAATTACATCCATGCCCCAACACTTCCCTTTACCTCTTAACTGCTTTCTGAGCTAGCATTCTGTTTCCTGCCAGGAACGTGAGACCACCTAGGATGGCCAGGTACTTTAGGGTCTGGAACATGTTGAGCTGAGTCCAGTAGACATACATAAGTCCCAACATGGCTATGAAGAGACAAAAAAAGACAGAAAAATCTCGAGATGGGCTTCATGAATCCATGCCTTACACAGGTATAGCACTTATGGGTTGTGTGATCTCTAGCTGTTTTCTTGAATGGCAAACATAATAAAGGAAGTTTAAGAACATTAAGGGACTAAAAGCCTCCCAGCTCTGTGGGGGGCTTCGGCCTTTAAGAGCTCATAGGAACTTGTCAAGGAGTACAGCAACATGCTGCCATGTGACAAAGAAAGACTTGAGTCTTGAGTTCTCCCAGATTGGAAAGACCTGGGAGTTCTAGTAAAGTAACACCACTCTTCAGGAGTGAAACTGGTAGACCTCAGGGAGAAGTAAATCCTCCTGGTCAGGAATGGTTGGACAAGTTGGTCTACAAGAGCAGACCTAGAAAAAAAAAGGACTTTTACAGGTTTCCATCCTCTCTCCACTTCCAGAAAAAGCCCATCCACAAAAGGGTAAATACACAATAGAAAGTGCAACCCCTAGAAACGAAAAGCGCTCTTAAATGGAGATAAATGGCATGCAAGAAAAGCCCAGTGTAATGACAGCTGTTATAAGCTGATGGCCAAAACAAGTTTATCACCATATTAACAACTCTGAAAGGCAGGAAGGCAGAGGAAAACAAGAGAAATGTTATGCTATTAAGTCATTATAGTTAATAGGTTGCGAGTCCATTTACCATCAGCCCTGATCTGTAAAACCAGTGTGAGGTCACTGAGAGCAATGTGCCTCTGGCACTTACCAGCATGACCCAGGTGAAAGATAATGGTACTGGGAGCAAAGCTGAAGTTTGATATGTTGGCACCAATCTTAATCCACTGAAAGAAAAACAAAACCCAAATTACACGCGTCTTCTCAGCAGAAACTTCTATTCTACAGCAGTCAGTGAAACATTCTCAAGTTCTTAAGCAGGCCTTCTAAACAGGAGTTCCACCAAGCTCTATCAAACCAATGGCCACAACTGCAGAGCTAGTTTATTAAATACTGTGACCAATCAAGACCAGGTGTCAAGGTATCACTAACTAGTTCTTTTGGCAGAAGGCACTATGCTTCTAGCTGGAACAAACCTGCTTCTGACTTCACAAAGGTAGTCCATCACTCAGCATTTCTTAAACAGCTAGGAGCCAGCAAAACAGATGTATTTTGCTAAGTACCTCCTCCAAACCTACCACAGAGGGTCTGTTACATGGCATGGTGACAAGGTGCTAAACACATCTCCTGTGCTGGTTTTTGGACTGGGTGGGGAAAAAAGGTCTCATGTGCAGCTCACCAGAATGAGCTCAACTCACCAGAATGAGCAGCAAAAGAAGTGGTGAGAGAATCAAGGCTGTGAATGTGTTGGACACCACTGTGGGAGGTCTCTTCTCAGGTTCTCTGAACAGGTGCTGTGAAAAGAAGCCCTTTAGAAGCACTACTCAAGAACAACTTTCATTGCAGCAAGTACAAAGTTTCAGTCCTGTTCACAGTTCCCACCCATTAATTCTGATCAAGAGTATCCCCTCATGATATTGTCAATGCAAGGTCTAGCTAGCCACTCGCAATGCAATCCCATGCTTTCTGGTTGTGGTCACGTTTTCTTGTACTCAGGCAAGCAGAGAACCACCGGGTCTACTGCATGCATATCTCCGTTGACTAGAAAGGTGACAAAAATCTTTGGAAGCACATCACTTCCTAGGGCCTCTTCTTGGTTAAGAAGGATGTCCCAATGCTCATATTTAGATCCCCTCAATTTTACTGCTGCACTCATAGAATAAAAGTCTTATATATTTATTTATGCCTGCTGTTTAGTTTGGCTACTAGCTCCTTATGGTAAGTTTTGTTTCCTTTAATTGGCATCACTAACATGATGAAGATGCTCCTTTGTGACAGGCTATTTATCAAATGAGTCTTAGCATGACTGGACATAAGAAACAACTGCCCTCTTTTTGGTTATACCTGGATTTCTGGCTTAGGAACAAAAAGGTTCTTTGATTGGACTGTGGATGGAGCATCCTCCTCTGGGAATTTGATCACAACATCTGCCTGAAATGGAATTGAGACACATTACAAAATGCTGGGATAAAACGCCATGCTGGGATAAAATGCTCTAAAAAATTACAGACATTCCTTACACAAATTCCACATCATAAAGTAGGCAGACAAGGTTCTTTGGGTAAATGTGATAGCTTTTATTGGACGAACTAAACAGTTGTAAAAATTGTTCTTTGCAGGCCTTTAGGTATAAACACCCTTCTTCAGGCACAGGGAGAATACGTTGTTGGTTTGTGTGCTCTCCTGGGTGGAATGCATTCCTGCTACACGTTATTCCCCACTAATATAATTCTCTACTCTTAATGTGTCTAACTGTTAGGAGAAAATGTTATTCTTCTCTCCTTAGCTGGAGTCTAAGAAAGATCTAAGTAGTGCTAGTCCCTATGCACCTTTTATTTTGGGTACATTGGTATACCCTGCTCATCACTCTCTTCTGTCTGACATGAAACGTGCACTGAAGTAATAGACTTAATAAGAGCCATGTAGCAGACCCTAAACAACCACAAGATCAGGATGACTGTCCTACAAGATCAGGCCAGGTGCACTCTATCCAGGAGAGCACACAAAGCAACAACATACTCTCCCTGTGCCTTGAAAAGAGTGTTGGGAGGGAAGCTGCCACCCCCAAATTCACTGTAGCCTCCTCAACTTGCCCGCTGAGCTCCCCGGAGAGCCTGGTGGCCCCGCTGGCCCCAGCCTGCTGTTGTCCGATGCAGAGATCCAGGGGCTCACAGCATGCCCCCCCCCAAGAACATCCCACTGCTGCCCCCCAGCCCTCCTGGGGGACACATAGCAGCAAGAGCCGCAGGCCTCCCCCCCCCACATCCCGTGCTCTGCACCCACTCACAGTTCCTGCCACCTTGTTGCCTGCTGCAGCCTGGGGCCTTCGCATTTCCCCACTCACCCTAGTCCCTGCTGCAGCAGCTGTAGGAACAGCCAACGCCAGCTGCCTATAGCCGCTGGGTTGCACTGTGCCCCAAACCCCCAGAGGCTCTGCTTCTTCCCATTCACCCCAGCTACTGCAGCAGACCTGGGAGCAGCTGACACCACCTGCCTACACCGTGGCACGGTGCAGCCCAGGGGCTGGGCTGAGTGGGGAGAACCGGAGCCCTGATTGTATAAGAGTGAATTTACCTCACATATAAGGAATTTTAGGAAGAAAAAGGGTGATCGCATAAGAGCAAATCTGCATATATGGAACCCGCATAAATTGAGGGAAACCTATATGTTGGGCAGATACTTGGCTGAGACAGTTGAGTCAGGGATGATCCTGCTTTGAATGGGGGCAAGACTAGATGGCCTGTCAGGTCCTTTCCAGCCATACTTCCCTCTGATCCTATATGTAACCCAGTCCCTCTAAACTGAAAAATTCTCCTTGCAGATGCATCCTATTTAGTTTTTAACTGATAGTTCATTTTCTGAAGAGGGAAGCGAATACTTTTCATCCACCCTTCACAGCTGGACACTTTCATATCCAACTAATAAATACATGTTACTTCTATTAGAGACCTCTACAAGTCCATGTCCACAAAACCCTAACACCCTCTGTTCCATCTCACGCAGAGCTGAAAATTCATTCTCCTCTTGCTCTTGCATTTATTCAGCTTTCACATTTTAAGACTAGAGTCTATTAATAACATAGGAAAAAAGATCACCAACAAAGAACTGTAATGTTTCTCTTTGTTCATTCAGGCTTCTATTGTTGTTCCTTGCTACACTATCAGTGATCTCAAGAAACATCCAACTGCGTATTTGCAACATACCACATTCCACAGGATTGGATTTTCCAGAGTGGCATCTCCAATTATCAAGTAAAGCGTATAGGTGCCAGAAGCAGAGTCAAACTCTGTTTTTCTCTCAGAGGTGTCCAGCTCAAACTTGTACACATTCTTGTTGTCAGGTTCTGCAACAAACACCACCTCCTGCCCAGTCTTCTGATTGTGGAGTCGGACAAATGTCTAAAATGGAAAGCAGCAACATTATAATCTGTACCTTCTGGAAGACCTTCAAGTACCTTGACACCAGTGAAGCAGGCAAAGATCAACAATCACACTTGACAGATGGGAAAACAGATTAACTAGAGATACGTGCAAGGTTACAAAGCAAAGCAGTAGCTGAGCCAGGAACAGAATCTCGGAAACCTGACTCCCGGATCCCTGGCATATTCACTTGACTTCAAGCCCTCCCACTATGAGTTGACTAATACAGGTATCAACACTGCCCAGAAAGCGTCTGCAACATCTGGCATTTCCTGCTGTAGCCATACTGAGCTCTATTTCAGATGTTTTACTACAGCACACGACTGGTCTATGAGCAAGAGGGTACAACATCAAATGCAATCTCAGGAAAGTTAAAGTTTTCAGGAACTGGCTATATTCAAGAAAGAAATGCACTTTCAAAGAGAAGATGCTTTCACTCTGGTTTGTCTGTTAATTTAAGGAAGCAGCAGCATCAAGTTTAGTAAAGGTTTATTAAAAATATAGCAAAAAATGTATATAAACTAAATTCACTCCCCTTCATACTAGGGGTGTGCAAAATGGGCCGTATGCAATTCAGATTCGGCCCGAATCAGGGACAGCGATTCAACACGGCAATGCTGGGGCAGATGGAGCATCCCATAGGAGAGGGGAGGGGAGCCCTCCTGCATGCTCGGCAGCAAACCCGGAAGTGGACCAGAAGTGCATCTTGGTCCGCCGCTGAGCACGCGAGGGACATTCCCCACAGCGATCGGATGTGGGGGGACCCCAGGTGCCCCCCCGCCCCCACCCAGGAGGCACCAGACGCTGAGTGGAATCCCCCACATACTCCCTGGCAGACTGGAATTGTTTTAAACATTTAAAGCTGTGTCTATGTCTGAATCACAGAATCTTTCCAAAACTCTCCGAATCTGTTTGGAGGGTTCTGATTAGATTCAGAGAGATTAAAGGGTCTCCTGATTCGATTCGATTCAGATTCAGAGATTTGGCCGCCGAATTGGGTCAAATCTCTGCCGTATCAAGTGAGCGACCAAAGCTTTGCACAGCCCTTCATACCCAGCATTCTTTCCCATCCACTTTTTGTATTTATCAACAATTTTCCCCATCGCAATCCATTTCATACAGACTATAAAATGGTTTTCACACTCCAAGAAAGCTTTAAAAAGAGCAATGGTTGCTTAAGATGCCTCAAGAGGTGGAATTTTAATGGCAGAATAGCTACAAGAATTTGTCCTGACCTGGTGAGGGATAAGTTCAGCTCCACTATTCATGTCTAGCAACTGGAAGGACAGGGCAAAGTTCTGATGACTGTCAGCTGTGAATGATCCTTTGGCTTTAGCTGGGTAAGCTACCCTGGAGTGAAGAGAAAAAAAAAATGACTGAGGTGGTTTTTCAACAGGGGAACTGGAGTTCAGAGCAACTGACATGCACAAGCCTAGCTTACAGTATCAGTTTACTCACGCGGCTTCTTGTTGCAGATTATTTGTTGAAACAGACCATCAGTTAAGAGAATTAAAATGCTACACTGTCTCATCACCACCTCCCACGAATCAAAATAGTGCAGTTCTTTAGTATAATTTATTTTTGTAAGCCATCTGTGGTGCGTGGTTTTAAGGCAAAAACAATAGTTAAGAAAGACTTGTGGTAAACCCACAAATGATGGCAGCCACTTCCTACAGCACACATTTACCTTAAAGCATGTTTCAACTGAAGTTGAAGGTGCAACTGTGGCACGCACAGACACACTTGTGCTAGGCCTAACTGATGAAAGCACCAAAGGCAATAAAGATGCAGAGACAGACTCTAGTGCAGACTAGCTGCAAGCATATATGCAGGCACCCAGTAGTCTTGCACAGCACACAGCAAAATCGGCATTACTGCTTTGCTGCTCGTTAGGTGAGATTACTAGATTAAAGCTAGCATGGGTCTGCCTGTACATGCTATGATCATACCCTGCAGGGAACATAGGTATATCATTAGAAAATCTTCTCTAGAGGAATTCTGCCAATGCCATAAATGTTTAGGCAATTATTTTAACCAGCTGTATTCGCTGCCCTGAGTACTGCCAGCACAAAAAGGGCCCTTTGTTTTCTGGCTTATTTCTGCATTTTTTTCATTAAAAATCAATCCATTTTCTCCTCCACCGAACTCCCAAGGATTGAGTTGAAAGAAGGAACAGATACAGATCTGATGACAATCCAAGACAAAAGACTCTTTGCTTTCATTGCACTAGATCAAGAACTGAAGACCTATATAGCCTAGATTCACTGCTGTCATTTACAAAGGCATTGCGCACACTGCAGCTTTACCTTGTTGTTTTTGGTGCAATGCTCTGATCCTTATCCACAGTAGAAAGATCCACGTTTGTAATACCAACTTCAGTGGAGACCTTTACTTTCAGCTGCAGCCAAGCACAACAGAGAAACCGCTTAGTATAGTCTATTTATATCTATGCAAACTCAGTTTATGCCAACAGTTTTCTACAGATGCCTACAAATTCTCCTTACTCTCAGGCCCAGAGAATCCTAAAAATATTGGAACCAGTTCCTTTGTCAGGATTTTCCACAAAATACAATATTGTAGGAAGGTGTGGAGAGACAGAAAACAAAACTAAAGGAAACTGCCAAGGATTGATCATTGAGACTTGATATTAGGCCAGCATTCCTACACCAAGCCCCTTAAATCTCTACACCTCACAAAGTACAGTGAGTTAAAGTATAGCGTACTTATTGCATCAGACAGTTACCTGTTCCTTTTTAGATACCAGAACAACTAAAACAGCTCAAGCATCCAGATCTTGCTAGGTTTTATTTCAAATTAATGGACATTATGTATTAAATCTGATGCATTTTTGTACTTGCTTTTTTTAATATAGTGTTCTACATTTCTCTGTTCCCCTTAACGGGATATTAATTGAACTCTCTTGACAGTCACTAATTATGGCTTTATTGCTGCAGATGTCTAATAGGGTTTCTGCACATTATCTAACACTGGGCAAAAACAAAGCATTATTTCCCAAATGATACTGACCTAGACTTTAATTTAGTGATTTCCCTTCATAATTAGAGTAGGTTATTTATGATTTGTATTGTGGTAGCCCTAGGAGACCTGTTGTGTATTAGGATGCTATTGTGCCATGTGTGGTATAAATCCAGAGCAAAAAGGCAGTCCCTGCCCCAACAGCTGACAATTTAAGTACTCCATCAAGGCCAGCAGGATTTATTTCAGTCTGCCTCCCAAACATAAGCAGTTGCTGCAGAGCATAATTTTTAATTAGCATAGTTGTTCTCACAGCTCATAAAACACTCTGTGGAGAGTCAGAATCTGTTTCACTGCCAAGACGTTTTCTCTTATCATCCACCATAGCTTGTTTCCATATAGTTACTACTGAGTCAGGCACTACCCCTCCATGCACATTTTCATCTCTGCAGAAAGCTTATCTAGAGGCCTTGTAACTGTGCAGTCTGGGGTGGGGGGCGGGTGGAGAAGAGACAAGAGACAGGGAGAGCAAATTTTTTTGTCCTGTCATTTTTGACTGAACCTTTGCAACACAAAACTTAAGGAGAAAAAAAAAAAGAAGTCAGACAGATTTTTTGAGGGGGAAGGGAGGAGGAGTGATGGGTCCTGCCTAAGCTAACTAGAGTTCAGAGCTTTAGTTTGATCCCATAACAGGAGTGGAAGAACTGAGAATTTGAACCACACTTAATTTAAAAGTCAAGTGAGGGCACTTTCAGTGCTGTTCAACACTGCCTTTTTTTTAAACTGTATCACACGCAAACACGTCTCACAAATACTTTAATGCCAGGAAATGCAGTTTTTTGCTTAGAGTAATAGCCCTCCAGTTTAGCTCATTGCTGTCAAAAACTATAGTGCATTAGGGACAATTAACACTAATGACGGCCTCAAAAAATGTAGCTTCCTCAGCAGCTCTCCCCATAACATGTCTTATTAGGAGCAGTTCACACAAAGCCATCCACATTAATGCATTCCTACTGGTACAGCATGCTTGTAGAGAGTTTAAGTAACACCATCAATCCCCTTCTGATGCTCTAAGTGCGATTATTACTACAATTACAATGTCGACTTGATATGCGCAGCAGAGGTCAGCATTTGTAAATAAGTGTCTTCTCCCTCCACTCCAAGCTGACTGAGCCGTTACAATTTTAAATGCTAATATTTTTCATTACAGAAGAATTGAGGGCAAAAAATTAACCCCTACAGTAGACATCACTTGATATGAGTGACAACTTTTCCCACCTGCCACCATTGGTCTGAGTCAGTGATGAGCTTAAAGAAAAATTGCTTGGAATCTGTGAAGGGCCTTAGAGAAAACATCTTCCTCACAGGAGAAAATCTAGGGTGAAACCTTAAAGTATTCATATAATAATATGCTTCCATGACTCAGGCAGTGGTCAAATTGGAAAAGTCTGTCTGAACAAGGCCCTAATCCACAACTTGCCTCATTCAGTCATTTCCCAATACAGATTTAATGTGCATGTATAAGCATCTGACTTTCAAAGCGATTAAATAAATCAGTTCAGTAATTTAAAATGATCTCCTTTGTAAGTGGACACATGCATGCACATACACCCTAAAACTAGCTTCTGGTTTTGAGGCCAGGTCAAAATCTAAAGGTTTTCAGAAAACTATAAAGGCACAAAATCAGTATAACAGGCCAGATGCTCAAATAATGTAAACTGTAATCATTTCATTAAACAATGGCTACAAACGCATACCTACCTCAACTTTGTTTGCAATAAATCGACTGTCGCCATCAACACTGACAGAGAAATCATAATATCCACTGGCAGGTTTGACATTCATGAAGTTCAACTCAAAGATATCACTGTGACAGCAAAAGCAAGAGGTAAAAAAAAGAAAGTTTGCTCTGGAATACTAATATGGGAATGTGAAATTATAAAGTCAAAAACTAATGAGCAACATATGCTGGATTTTCCATTACTACTGATTACAAGTATGAAAAAAATGGCATGTAAAGAACAGAAAAGCACTGGCATGGTTTCAGCACTGTTAAGAAGATATTACTATTTCTCTAAAAATACGACACTTCTACATTTTAGCCTGATGTTTTCTCTCTGCTCCAACATTTCTCTTGTAAGCAGAGAATATGATGATTATTACTAACAGTACCTGCAGCCATTAACACTTGTGAGCAGAGGGACAGGAGGTTTACAGAGTGGGTTTAAGAGACAAGCGTTCATCAAATAGTAACCAGCAGTACTTTTCTCTCATCTCCACAAATCTGACCTGCTTTAGAAATCTGACCTGACCTTGTAGGACAATCATCCTGATCTTGTGGTTGTTTAGGGTCTGCTACATGGCTCTCATTAAGTCTATTAAGTGCATGTTTCATGTCAGACAAGACAGAGTAATGAGCAGAATACACCAACGTACCCAAAATAAGAGGTATATAGGGACCACCATTACTTAGATCTTTCTTAGTCTCCCCTCAATGAGCCAGGGAGAGAAAAATTGCATTTTCTCCTAGCAGTCAGACATGTTAAGAATAAAGAATATTAGTGGAGTATAACATGTAGCAGTGATTCAGTATCACTACCAAAGAACTCTAAGTCACTGGAGACACCAACAAATTAAACATGACTATAGTGCTCTGAGTTTTCCATCATGCAACAACCATTTCTTCCTGTGAAAGGCTAGGAGTAGGACACAAAAATCCAATAATGTCATAGCTGCCATTATACTCCTTTAAAGCAAACTACAGGAGCAAGTTTGTTTCTTACCCTGATAGGGCAAATGCAGTCTGGTGAAGAACAGTGGCTTTGGCAGATGCAGACTTGGCGTAGTCCAGTGTTACAGTAGCTTGAGTCAGTGGCTGGGACATAACATTGGTCACTTGTAGCTAGAAGGAAGAAGGGGTGGGGGGAGAAAGAGTAAACACTATGTTTCCTAGGAAACCTGTTGCTCAGGGAACTAATTCTTGGAAGAGGGAGCAGAACACAGAATTAATTTATAGGAATCCCATCTTCTTTGACTATCCCTCATATATTGTCTCCTAATCACGCCAAGGCTGAAATCAAATACACTCAGATTACTGAGTTCTTTACAACATCTTAAAATCGTTAACTGAAACATTACTAATCCTTTTGATTAAGGCAAGCATGTCCAACATTAGTACTTTTGTGGTGGTGTTTCTCCTAGTCTCTGGTAAATGCAGGTCCATAAAAGCCAAGTCACGTAGGTACTGAGAAAGGATTTAGGAAATAAGTATGTACATGAGACCTGATATTAGAAATGAAAGGTATTACCTGACACAGTAAAGCATCCCACACTTGCGATACTGCACACCAAGACAATATGTTATATTTGGGTCTGGGAGCTCACCCTGAGTATGGGCTGATGATGGGAAACAGCTGCAGGTCCATCTGGGACCACAATGACAGGCAAGTGGTAGCGGTTCTGTGATAAAGAGCCTGCAGCATAAGCCACACTGAAGGCTTCAGAGAGTGTCTCAAAGTTTTTCTTGCTAAAAATTGCATTCATCAGCTGGATGATCTGATCCTGAAAGAAAGAGAGCGAATAAACCATGTGTAAGCCAAATGTGGGAAGACTCCCTGCTTCCTGCAAAATTTCAAAAAAGCCAGTCTAATTAAGTGCTAGCAACCTCCTTTCCTGTGTAAATCTTTTCCCAGAACACCTATGAGTTCATATTAGGTCTTCTGCAGAGGATAAAGACAAAGACATTATCACTTATACTAAAATCCACAAACTTAAAAGTAAAAATCTTAAATGCATTTTGTTTCCATTATTTAGACAATACAAATATCGTCTCTCTAAACTGCAGGTGGTTTGCATATATATATGGTTTCTCATTCTTGGCTCCAAGTTTCCAGCATAGGACAAGTAGTGTGCCAGATGCTTGTAGATCAAGTGTGGGATTCCAGTTATACACAAGCCTTAGACAAGCACTAATGTTTTGAAACAAAATAGCTTAAAACCATTTCAATTTCAGGGGGGATGTCTGAGCCAAAATCTGATCTGGGATGGGCTTAGTAATCAAATCCAAAAGCCTGCATAAACCTCACATTATTCCAACAGAGTGGCAGCATATAAAATGTGGGTGTCCAAAGATCAAGATCAAAATAAACACCAAACTCAGAAGGCAAACACATCTTCATCTTTACTGAATTTCCTACCTGCACACTTTTAAAATAGCTTCCAACTTTTCAACCCCCCCCACCCCCGAGTCTGTATTTAACATGCCAGTGAATACAGGACAAATAAAGGCATGCAAGTAGAAGCTCTGTGTCTCTATTTAACACCAATCCTGCACAGTGTAATGTTACCCCCACAGGGCACCTGGTAGGATCAGGGCTTTAAAAAAAAACAACAAACACACTGACCAAAAACTGCAAAAAAAACCATGAACTGTTGTTTTAAATATAAATCTATTAAAGTTTAGAAGTGACTCTGTTGGCTTTCTGAAAAGTAGGCATTTTCTCCATTCAGGAACAAAAAGAAAAGAAAAAGATCCAACAAAAGAGCTCCTGACAGCCTGAGTTAGACTCAACACTAAACAATTTTCTTTAATTGAACCAATTTATTTTTTTACGACATCGGTACTCTAACATTCTGGAACACATTCATCAGATTCACTGTCTACAGAACGACATCAAAATTGCTCCATCAAGTTTGCCTGGCAGCACCATGGAAAGAGGCCAGGAATGAACTTAAGACACCACACACACGGGCTTCATTCTTAACCCCCACTGTTTCACCTACTACCTTCACAATGCACCAGGCTGCTGTGTGTAACTTCCTATATTATTATATGCACATTATAAAGGTATATGTAAAAAAATATCAGTGAAATTTACCTACAAAATACTGAACACAAAATCCTGTAGAGAACCTGCCAGAATAATTTCTAGCTAATTTAACTGTGACCCTGGCTATAAACATTTTTGTAAGACAGGGGACCTTGCAATCGGGCTGTGCGAAATGGCACCGTTCTGTTTTGATTTGAATGTCAAGATTTCGACAAAATAGCGTTTCGTATTGAATTTCATTTGGATTCAAAATAGTTGTTTTGTTTTGCTTCGTTGAAACAGTGAGGCTGTTTCAACATTTTGCTAGATTGGGCCGGGGCCAAGGAGTCAGCCCAGCTGGGCTGACTCCGGCCCTGGCTCGTTGGTTGCACTGGGGAGGGAAAGTCAGCCCAGCTGGACTGACTTCCCATCCCCAGCGCTATGGTCGAAACGTTTTGACTTCTGAAACATTTCCACTAGCCTTGTTTTGTTTTGAGACTGTTTTGAAGCCCTTTGTTTCGTTTCGATTTTGCAGTTTTGATTTCAAAATGAGTTGAAAGAGTGTCGAAACAAAATGGCCAGCGAAACTTCACACAGCCCTACCTTGCAACTACCTTGGGGCAACTGCATGCAAACAAACATCTGCAGAGGGGCAAAAAAACTATCCTGTATTTGAACAGAGGTATATTTTCTAAGCAGGTTTATCTACATACAAGGAGTTGCAGCCATACTCTACAGCCTTTTTCTCCTCAGAGCATCTAATTTGTTTCCTAGGTCTATGCAAGTTTTTTTCTAACTGCCATCAGAGTGTTTGGACATCAAATTTTAGTGTCTATACTCCCCCACAAAAAGTGCACTAATTGGAAAGCAGTACTCTCCTCTAGGGAACATTTTGGTCAAAACCACTATACCTCCTCTTCATTTCTCTCATTAAGATACTTAAGTTTCCCACCTCCTCCACCTAATTAGCATTGGTACAACACTCTGAATCTGTGAAGTGCTACAGAAGAAACAAAATCTCTAAAAACAAGTTTTGTTTCAACAAATTTCAAAAAACTGCCTTAAAAAAAGCAATACCAAGATAGGTTTGCCATCACCTCCTGTACTTTTGAGGCTTGGTTTTTCTCACTCCTGTACTCAAGTTGTACTTTCTTCCCAGCTGATACTTAAAAGAGTCTCCTTTCATATTTTCCTGTTTACTGAAGACACTTTTTGTTCATTATGGACAAATCCTGATCATAGTTACACACATTACTTATGCCTCATAATGACCCCAGGTGCAATAATTAACTATAAGCAGTGGAGGGAAAGAGCCAATACATACTTCCTTCATTGCTGGCTCTGTACCCACATGATCTGACAGTTTATAGGTAGCAGCAATAAATAATGCAGTAGTCTCAAGTCCTTCTTCAAATTGTAGATATATTCCACCCAAGTCATCCAAACGAGCAACAAGGTCCTGAAAGCAAGAGAAAGAAATTACCCAAAAGGCAAAGACGAATACTGGAACTTAAGGGATTGGGTTTTATCTGTAAGGCATGTGTTCATCAGGCATTCACACAACGATCTCAGAGTTTTCTTCTAACCCAAATTCTCTCTGAAATTTTAAAAATATACAAGAACAAAGCATCAGCCAACCTGAAAAACCTTTAATAATTTTGGGGGGTTTTAAATGGTAAATTTAAGGTTGCTTCTGTTTGACGTACAGTCCACAATATTGGATTAACCTTTTCAAAGTGGAGGGTTGCTTTAAAATGAGTTTCTAAGCAAACCCCATACCAAAGGGAAGGGAAATGAGCTGATTTTTTTTTGATTTTAAAAGATTTATGGATCTACAAAAAAAGAGTCTGAATAATGAGGGAACATAAACATTCTTACCTCTATCTCCTCCACAATGCTACTCAAGTCTGCCTGCTGGGACAAGTATGATGCTGTCTCCAAAGCCTGAATAGTTCTGGAACAATGAAAACCAAAACAGTGATGAATAAGCAATGTGAGATTTTACCTATTTAAAAGCAGAACATTGCTCAACCCAAAGCAATTACACAGTCTCAATTACAACTGAAATGGAAATAGATGCTGTAAATGCATTCTTCTCAGGGGTTCAGAGGACAACAAAACCTGAAGAGGTGCCTAAGATATTTTGTTTTTAAAAAAGTCAAGTAAAGGGATACTATGAAGTTCAGAAAAAAAAGCTGTTTTTGACATAAAACATTAAGATGAAAATTTCCTAATTTCAGTAGCTAAAGTGAGACCCCTAAATAAGTGGAACAATTCCAGGGACAGAATTCCTGGATTCTTGTTGATTCAAATGACAGCTGTGGTCGTTTAATACTTAGAAAAATGAGGCCATTTACAGTTCCCTAAATAAGTATCTGGAAGCTTGACCTTAGGATCCTACATTTGAGGAAGTGCGTACTTTCGATTAACTCATTGGTTTACTTCTTGCATTTCTCTCTACTTGTCAGAGGAATACAGGCAAGTTGGCCAGTTTCACTTTTGTTTCTACGTAACTTCATTTCTTATGCATTAATACAAAGTGCTATATTACACCAAGCATCAATAAACAGGGCTGTCACAATGTTGAACAGTTGTTTTTATTAGCATGCCAGAACTGTTCAACTTTTGACGAAGTTTTGAGTTTTCAGTTTTGCACTGGAGATTTCTTTGGGAGAATGGTAACAAACAACAGGAAAATAATCTGACCTGTCTTTGTGGCTAAGGGAAGTCAATTTTTGGACCAGAGGTGCTTCCTAGGAAGTACAATGGCAATTGAGTTGGACATTCTTAACGAGGGGATCACTTGTATGCTGTTTGTGACCACCTCTGTACAGGAACTGCTGTAGACAGTGCTAATAAACATTACTTTAAGATGCTAATCTTAGTTTACATTATTTATTTCTTCTACATTGGGAAACTATCATACATAGCCCTTAAATCCACTACATATCAGGGGATGGCCTACTTCATGCTTTAAAAGACACAGCTAGGATTTAAACTTTTAGTTAATGTAAGCTTCATGAACACTTTCCTAAGAAAAGAGATTTTGTAAAGTGTTTTCTACACTAAAAATCTGTATTTAAGGCTCTGACACTGCTCATTACAAAGAATTCTGAATACAATACAGCCACCTTATAAATATGCAAATATTACCCTTTTCTGATGCTGGATTTGGAAAACCAGAAGTCATTGGTGTTTGGAGTACACCAGAAGTACTTTCTATTTGAACCAACTCCCAGACCTTCACTCAAACCAGTAGGCATATTTCCTCATTACTCCCGTATCTGACAGCTGCTACCAACACAGCCAATGACATCTGTCACAAAACATGCTGCTTATGCTCCAGTCACAGCTGGGGATTAATTCACTGCAACTAATTTTAAGCAATTTAATTAAAGGCTTGCTTATGCAACAAAGGAATGGGACTTTTCCCCTGGCCCTAAAGAAGCAGAGCAGAGGGGAAACAAAAGCCAGCTTTTTATAATGGGTCATTTAGAAGACTGGACTTGATATAAGAATACGAAAGTATTTTGCATACCATCATCTTCAGACCTTCTTAACAACTTTGCTAGCAATCAACACAACAGCAATATGAAGTTAAAAAAAATCTTTAGCCTTCCCATTCTCGTGCTCTTCTAAAACAAAGTGCAAAGTAAAACCAATCACCTGATTTTGCTGTTCTGCTCTAATAGGGGTGGAACAGGAAGATAAGTGTTTTGCTGCCCCATTCTGGGAAAGAAGCCCTTCCCATTCTGGGTTACAGAGCTAGAACTGTCATCCTCTGACAACTGAGGCAGCATGTTAGGAATTTGGACAGAACATCTAACAACAAAGTAAAGTTAATTTCATAAAGGTTAACATCAGAAAATGTCTCTGTCAAATACTAAAGCAAGGCAACTAATATCCAAAAATGCAATTTACTTGTACCAAGATTCATGTTCTCAGACATAAGTGTGACACAACCCCTTGTGTGTCTCTTCTCTTTCAAACAAATGTTCTGAGAGCGATTTGCAGGTCACACCAGCTAGCAGAACCTTAAATCTCATGAAACAATAAATTCTACAAGAAAGGGAAAGTGTTGTTTTCATATAGGCTGGATCATGTGACACGAATCTTGGAGGACATGCAAAACTATCACCATATTGCTATTGATCATGAAAATTAATCTACTCAGGGAAGAGAGGAGTTTGTAATGGCTTTGACCATGAGCTCCCCAAGCAGCCATTTTCACCATCAGGCTATAGTGTATACTTTAATGCAATTTTTTGTTCATAATACTCATATTTCAGTGTTTTCATTTGCTCATTCAGCAAAAGAGGTGTATTTAAAAAGGACAGGGCCTGCACAAAACCACTTGCTTTACAATTGGTCTAATACATGCACAACAAGAACAGGTATTTTATTTTCAATTGAACATGATATCAGAATAGCACACACAAGTGAGTGCTTTGATTTAGCTTTAACAGAATTTCCATTCATTTTTCAAAACCCACCCCTACCCCAAAGCAATTTTCTACTCATTTTGAAAAAAAGATGCTAAGCAAATTTGGATGGTGCAAAGATGGGACAGTAAGAAACCAGTGGCTGAACATTCATGTTTTTTAGTAAAGGAACAAATGGTTATGAAAACTCCTGCAACCCCTCCCCCCTGCAGTCAATTCATTTATAGCACCAATGTATTATCAATGATCTCACAGTAATTTCAGAGATCTGAGCCATTAGTGGGCCCAACATTACAATCTGGTGATGCCACTGACTCACAATGCCTTCCAGTGGGAACAAAGGAAGCATTGGCCCCTGACTACGCATTTCATGACATAGTCCCCATATGGATATTGCATGGAGACCATGCAAGCATTTTGGGACCGCAGAAGCAGGCTCTCTTACAGGAACACTTCTCATTGAGTCATTGTATTTTTATTTCCTCTACTTCCCTTGGAAAAAGCACTCTAGGATTATTATATCATTTCAATTTTCCTAAAAATTTGCTGAAGCAAGGCTAAATTTTTCCCTTATTCCAGAAACCACTCTAATGGATCAGGTGACTGAACATGCAGACATGCCAAGAACCCACAACCTAGGCACTGTTCTGTCCCGTCCCTAAGCATATGGTAAACTCAGCTGCACTTCCCAAAATCATAGCATATCTATGAAAAGTGTGCAAGTAGGATGGTTTGTGTTGTCAGAAAAAACACAAGCATCACAGAAGCTTTTAACCTGCCCTCCTCTGTTCTAACACACTATCTGAGCTATTTGTAATTCACTTGCTGCATCAGTGCTACAAAATGCTCAGAAAATTTAAGAACAGAAAGAGCCAGGATCCTGAGTCCCTACATAACACAAGCCTGAGAAACTGGTACAGACAAATGAGGTTCTGGACCGTTCCAAATTTTGAGGAAAAAAGTATTTTGCAGTTTTCTTCCCTTCCTAAGGGCAGCGGCTGTCTCTTGTGCTTCGTTCATTAGCTGAATTGCACTGTAAGGAACTTCTTCCGGTGCCAAATGTCAAGATAATTTTTAGCATCAGGCAAGGGATTTTTCCTCAACTAGACACAGCTTGGCCTAAGAATGACAACACTGAGGCAGAAAATGAATCAATTCTACAGAGGTAAAAATAAACTAAAAAATTTAATTGCTTCAGGGTAAAGGTTCTCCACAGAAAAGGAAAACACTAGAAGTTGGCTTGCAAAATCTCAGAGTGAACAATTCTCAGAAAAGAGCAGATCCTTCTCCCCAAGCAGTTGACCCTAAAGTGCAGATGCCTGCAATGAAAATACAGTATATAATCCACAATGTGATACAGAAAACATACACAGGCAACCTTCATTTCAACAGCCACCTGCAAAAAGAAACAGCACAAAACAGATTAAATCATTTTATTCTGAACAAGACTTACGCCAAAACGTTCTCCTCCTTGCTAAGACGAGAAGTCAAGGCACTAAGTGCTTCCTGGGAAGCTAGAGGCAGCCCAAACCCACTCAGGGCTCCTACAGCATGGAAGATCTGAGTGACTGATGAATCCTCGCTGACAGCTGCAAGCAGCAGCTCTCTGGTCTCATTTGAAATGGCAACCTGAGACAGAACACAGAGAAAAGGTAAGCCAGTGTTTAAACAACCCCTGCACCTTGTTACCTGAATCTCTTTGCAGTCATGCTCAACGCCTGAGCTATGGCTCTTTAATAACTGAGGGGGGGGAGGCCTTCTACTATTTGTGATTTTTCCGTGTAAACAAAAAAAAGCCTTCACAATATTATTTGCATTGTGGTAGCATCCAAAAGCCTCAGTTCCTGAACCTGGGGATCATCTCACAAGTTACCATACAAACAGAACAGCAGTCCCTGCTCCAAGGAGATTACAATCCATGTACAATTTTCTCAATGTTTGTGACTAAAACTCAGTAGTGATTCTTCTCTTGACTCAACAGTACTTAGGAAGAGGATCCAAAATGCTCTGCCTCTGACAGCATTCCAGCAATCTATTATACATTCAACTTCCCAGTTGACAAACTGAAGATTTTGGGAATGCAAGGAAGGTTTGCAACTCTTAGATTCTCAGCCATCAGGAGTAATGTGGAGGGTAGGCAAACTTGTATTGGTGAGAAAATGGTAGATGTCCACAGGAAGACTTATTCACCTCTGTGGAATAAGGACATGGAAAAGCTAAACTGTAAGCCTGGCACTTCCTAACTGCTTAGCTTTGCAATCTAAACTGTTCTTTTAACACATAGTTGATGCAACTTAAGTAAACAAAACTTCAAGAGATATGCACAGACCTGCTACTACTGATGGCACTGATATACAAACAGGAAAGAAAATAAAAAGCTTTACTGGCCCCTGCCTTGCCAGTGGAAGAAAGTCAATTTCTGATCAAATGTTCAAAACTGTTTAGGAAAACAAAAAACTGTTTAGAGTCAGATAAATGTAAACATCACCATTCATCCAGAAGATTCCAAAACACTTCATAAGCTACATATCCAAGATATGATCAAAATGCAGCTACCTAGTAGCAGGCTGAAAGTAGGAAAGGTAGTTTTATCTAAAAAACAAGGCTTGAGGTTTACTTGAGAGGACATGGATGTCTCGTTTAGGGTCTCGAACTCACCTCACACCCAGACAGAGCCTGACTGGCTTGTGCAGCATAGAAAAGGGAATCAACACTGTTGGGGTCTATATTAGACTTGATGAAATCACATGTGGCCTGTACAGAAAAATAAGAAAATTAATGGTATTTATCATGATCATTGCCACTAAAAGAAAGGTTAAGTGACACTTTCAATACTCCTTGATGAGGTGGCAGCTACATGCAGTTTATCTTCTTGCATTAACCAAAAGCCTCTACAAAGCACACTTTCTGTAACAGTGCCCTGGAACCTGAGACCTTGATTTTGCTAGGCACCTTACAGAGATGCTGTCTGTACAAAAGAGACAGATGATTTTCAGGTGCGCTGTAATCCAATTAAATGCCAAATTTAAACTGTGTCCAAATTTACTAATTATTGTACATAAAAGTATTTATAGGAGGGAAGTCATGTGTATAACGTTATGGATTAGCACTCTGGGGCAGTGTGCATGACACAAAAACCATTACCAGATGCAATTCAAATGTATAATCCCATCTTCCAAATCAGAGGGGGAAGGAAGGTAGCTAGGCAATTACAACCTAGCTACCTAAAGGCAAGTTACAGGAATTACTTGGAACCTGTAACAAGTACATCCCAAGAAGCCTACAGTGACTAATCTGACGATCAGAAAATGGCTAGATCCTGTCAATGTCAAAGCTGCTATCAGAGGCAAAGTCCTCAAAGCAGTAAGTGAAGAACCTTAACAAGGTGTAAAGAGCAGAAAATAGGCTGTATCTACACAAATTAAGTACTGGCTTAAACAGTACCTTCATGATTGAAAGCACTGGTTTTGGGAAACAGACTAGTGCCACTCTAACAATTTAAATAGCTGTCCACCTTATCTGCAGGTGTCTTCAATGCCTTATAATACGTCTTACTGTCAGACGAGTGGCGCAGACAGAAACAAGATCATTAATGCAGCACATAAATTGTGAAATCAGAAAAAGATTTCAGCAATTTGTAGACATTACAATAATAGCTGCTCTTTGGATAATTGCGCTGTGGATCTGTACTACTTATCTGAGGCACAGTTTATCAGCAAAGACTACCCCAAAATGTCAGTATTTACTGAAGCATAATGATGGGCTAGTATTTTTCTACCTCTACCTGCTGTTATTCTTAGCTGTGGAAAAATATAAGATCCAGAGAACAGAATTATATATCACACTTACTTTCAGATATTAACCGTATAGAAATAAATGTTACGGCATTGCTGACAGAACAAGTTCAAAGACCAGCAACAGACAGCAATAGGCAAGAGGAACTTACTTACAAGGAAAGTTAAAAAAAAGGTCAAATGTGTATAGCTTAGAGACTCAGATAACCAGAACATAAAAGCAATCAACAAGCATGTAAACACAAAGATTTCAAAACAATGTGCTAATGGTAGAAGCTTAAGATATGCTGGTAATGCACATACTATGAGAAAATATGTCATGGCTAAAAAAAATAAAATAGTAGCGGCTGTATAACTGCCAAAAAAGTGATGCCAGAAATGGGAGAGAAGCACACTGCTGACTCCCATTTAAACAGAGCTCCAGAGTACTCAACATCTGACCCATTTTTTCTTTGGAAATGTACAGCTAAACTAAGATAAAGCCATTCCTCAGAGTTGATCTGCAGGGACAAAGTGAGTTAAGATATACGTGGAGCTGATGACAGGCTAACATAGTAAAATGAATGGACCCATCAAAAGTAAAATTACAATTTCCAAGCAGCAACTATAAGAATAACTACTTCACCCTAAGGAAATATGTAGCAGTGGTGATAAAACAGTAAAATAGTAAAAATTGTTTTTAATCGGATTTTTTTATTTAAATCAGATTTTTTGATTTAACCATACTTTTGATTATTTTGTTTAAGATGCTTTAAAAAAATAATCATATATAGTTGTAATTTAAGATACGTAAACGCTCAAAGATATCATCATGGAATAGAGATTATAACTTCTAATTATATACTATTTGAGACAGTATATTCATGTAACCTTTTTAGAGGTTTTATAAATAGGTCACAACAGGCCATGGACTATATTAGGGGCCCAATCTTATAGGATTCCCAGAGGCTCCTGTATAGATTAGTAAAGATTAAAAAAAATGCACAGGGACTCAGTGCTCAGTCTAGAACAGGGACAGGCGACTATTTTGGGCAGAGGGCCACTTACTGAGTTTTGGCAAGCCATCAAGGGCCACATGACAGGCAGCCCAGGGCAGATATATTAATTTTCTAAAAGTTTTAGGGGCCCCATGGGCCGGATAGAATGGCCTGGCAAGCTGCATTTGGCCCCCGGGCTGCACTTTGCCCACCCCTGGTCTAGAAGATCCCATTAAGCATTTCTGTGATGCTTAGTTTCAGTTCTCAAACTGTGGATTTGTGTCTCCAGAGATAACAGGCAGACAAGGTTCTTTGGGTAGAGGTGGTGTCTTTTATCAGACCAAGTAAATAGTTGGAAAAATTAGTCTTTGCAAGCTTTTGGGCACAAAGACCCTTCTTCAAGCATAGGGAGAGTTTTTTGTCTCCAGAGAGAACTTCCTTGTTAGCAACGGTATACAGAGATGAGAAATAATAGACCTCATTACCTACCCATCAGCCCTATTGTCTCTCTGCAAGTTTGTGCACCCACACAGTCAAGCCCTTACCTGTCTCTAAAAGTGCAGTTTCAAGAAGTTAAATGAATAAAGGATATCACAAACAACAAGAATGCACTTTTTGTAGAAAACAATGGTTAAATTGAGGCATCCTGACCAGTGATTTAAATCGCGAGTTAAATTGATTTGATTTAAATCAAATCCACCCTGTAGTAAAGCTAGGAATAATTTGTATTGGTTTGACCAATTACAGACCAAGGAAGTGCTGCTTTTCTCATACTGTGCTCCGCGCACCCTCCCATCCCATCCTACAAAAAATTGTTTGACAAATGCTGGGGGGGAAGGGGATCAGCTATGTAACTTCAAAAGAAGAGAAATTATCAATGTTGGCAAGATTTTTCATGCATAATTAGTTCACTGCTGGAAATACTTAGACCAAACAATACTTAATCAAGCCATTAGTATGCAGAAATCCTTCCAGTCTGTACTCAGGATTTAGAAATAAGAAAGAGGGGGAAGAAGAGATCGTTTTTGAAACTACACTTTTAATAGCAGAATTGTCTCACCCGCTCATCAGACATGCGCACCCCCAGCTTGCTAAGTCCTACAATGGAGTAGAAAGCAGTTTCTAAATTTATGAACGGACGCTCCAAAGAAGCTTTCAGTCTTTCAACATCACGGCTTGTGAGATAGTGGCTAGGAGTCAGGGCACTGACGATGGTAACAAGTATTAATGCCAAGAGGATGCTTGAACCTAAAAAAGAAAAGAGGCCGTTGAACAGTGTACAAGCTGCTTCAGTGGCAACATGAATGTCATTACTCAGGATGCATAAAAGGCTGTTTTCTTTTTTTTAAAATCAATTTATTTAATGTAAATTATTTTTACATTTAAATCATTAAACCTGTTTAAAGCTGTATTTGAAATTATAAGCATTTATATTAACCTGTAAATTGACTAAAACTTATTAACATAGTTTTAATTCACTATAAATAATAGTGAAGCAGTATGTGTTTGCTGCCAGCATTAAATAAAAGAAAAATCAAACCACTCAACCAGCAGGTTTGGTTTTTTTTCATTTGTGGACCCCTAAAAATTTCTGAATGGAGTTGCAGATCCCTTTGAACTGTAAGTGTGGGTATTTACATACTTGTGATTGACCAATAATTTTTCATGGACCCCTTAAATACAGCTTTAGGACCTCATCCAAAAGCAGACAGATGTGAATCTTGTGTTGTCACTTAAGTAATTAAATGTAAGTATCTGGATAAACGTGTTAGCAACCATATAGCTGGGGGGAGAGAGAATCATACCTCTACAGATACACACTCTTCAGCTGTCCAGTTGCTTATATTTTTATCCAGATTCTGTATCTGGATACTTATATCTATCTATAGATATCCATATCCATGTCTATCTAGATATCCATATCCTAAAGAAAGCATAAATCTCACAAGTGGGGAACCATTAAAGTTTGGTATCACTTCTCCTAACCATGATGTTACATAGATAGATATTGATCTATCACCTATCTAGATGAGCACCTATACAGCTGGAATGGCTGTATATATCTATCTATATCGATATATGGAGAGAGATGCACATTTCAGCTTTACAGCTGCTTATACATTTATCCAGATTCTATATCTATCAATTTATCTATCTCTATAGCTATAGATATCCAGGTAGCTATACCCTAAAGAAAGCACAATTCTTATAGGTGGGGGACCTTTAAAAGGCCAGGGACCTGCAATTAACTACAGCCTTTAACTGTACTTTATGGTACCACTTCTGCTCATGGTGCTGTTAGGAAGGATAGATAGATATTGATCCATCACCTATCTAGATGAGCAACCATACAGCTGGAATGTGTGTGCACACACTTACATGTAAGGAGATGTAGACAGATCTCTCTATATCCATTTATCCCTTTATTCAAATTCTATACCTGGATATCTATATCTATCTGTAGCTATACATATCCAGATATCACATCCTAAAGAAGCACGATTCTTATGCGGGGGGGACTTAAAACAAACCCAAGGCCCTGCAATTAAATACAGCACAGACTTCATGCTAAGTTTGGTACCACTTCTAACTGTAACTTCAAAATAGATGGATAGCTAGTGACATATCCCCTGTCTAGATGAGCACCAGTGCAGCTGGAAGGTGTGCGTGCATCTCTGCAGACAGACACAGTCTCTATCCACACAGGCAGACAGATGTGAACATTTCAGCCCTGTGGCTGCTTGTACTTGTACCCAGACCATGCCCCTGCAGTGCTGCAGGGAGCCCGGCCCACAGCTTAGATCACTGCTGCAGACCCTGGGCCTGGGTGGGGCAGGAGCTGCCGCCCGGTCCCCCCGTACCTCCCGCGGGCAGACGCAAGCATGGTTTTGTTGCTTTTTTTCACATTTTATTTTTGAGGAAAATTTTCTTAGATCAACTTCGCCAAACGAGGTCCAAATCTGTTTGAATCATTCACGTATGGCCATGGTACCGGCAAGCGGCCTCCACCCCCGCTTGCGGCTTCAGAAGCCGAAGTGCCCTAGGTGCAGGCCCGCGCCCGGATGCCCCCAAGTTCTGCTGTTAGGAAGGAGTCTCCCGCTCCCACCGAGGCGGCGTGTAGCCGAGATCCCCAGGCCGGTGCCACCGTCCTTCACCCCGCGGACGGCCCGAGCCCGCCCCCACAAAGAACCGAGGGCGCGGCGGGGCTGAGTTCCCGGACCCCCGCCCGAGGCCGAGACAAGGCCGGCCTCAACCAGGCCTCTCCTTACCACGCGCCGCCATCGCGCCGCCTCAGCCGGGGGAAGCGGGCCGGCGTCTACCACCGAGCCCCGCGGGGGGGAGGAACCATTCCATACACGGGAGGGGGGGATCAAACCCCGGCAAGAGCAAGTAACTGGGGCAGCCCGTCCTGCCTGCCCGAGTGCGTGAAGAGCGCAGTGCAGAGCGGAGAGGGCAGCAGCTGGGCCACCCCGTCAGCCCCCTCCCCCCTAGGGAGCTGGAATGGTACATTCCTGCCACCTCTCCCGAGTCTCCTGTGGGGGGCGGGCCCCTGGCTAGGATGTGTTCTTCTCTGATTGGTCATCGTCCCAGCCACTCACAGCCGAGGAGGCGGATTTAAAGGAGCAGCGAGAGGATGGTCTCATGGGTTGCCTTGTGTCGCGACTTGCACGTGTACTGGGACGGCGCGGCTCCGGGTGAAGCTGGCTGTCCCCGATGCTTAGGCCTAGCCAGGCCACGTGCGCCGCGCTACTAACACGGAAACAAGTCACTGCTGATGACCCAGCAGTGCCATCATCCTAGTGACCCCCACTCCTACTCCAGTGTCCCAACCTCACAGTGCAGGGCCCCAAAATCAGGAGACAAGGCAAGATGTTGTTAAAAGCAGTAAATGTTTGGGTTCTTGTCTTGCTTCCTAGTTTCTAGTGGTCACAACTTGAAACCAGCTTCTGGCCCTTGCTCTATTTTGCAGGGGTACAAAGAAAAGTGGCTTACTTCTTTTTGTGGATGGGCCTAAAAGTAGCATCATAACTCTCTGCTACTTCTTTCCTGGCTTTGCGCTGGGAGGTGTGGTCAGGAGCAGTCATGGAAGCCACAGACAGCTTGAGGACCCAGTTTATATCTGAGACTGGATGAAACCCTGGCTGGGTTTATAACCGGGGGATTGCAAAAGGGCATCAAGCTACCTTGGCCCCTTAGAATGGGCTGTGCGGCTGCACCGTATATGCCATATGGCCTCTGGTATCTTAACGTAAAGGTAGCTAGTCCCCAAAATACTTCAAGGAGAGGTGAAAACTGTAAATGGGATTACAAAACAGGATATATAGAAACGGTGCAGCAGAGAAATGGACGAGGGGAGTTACTCTGCTGCATGAGTAGGCGACTGCAGTGAGATGTGGGAAGAGAGAAAGGTCATGAGGAATTTTGGAAGGTGTGTTGAAAGCGGGACTTCTGCCAAAATCCCTCAACACAGCAGTGTCAGGCCCCTGCAAGCAGGCCAGTTATAAGAAGACAACATCACTGCAGTTTCATTACATTTGGTTGCTACAATGGGTTGTTCCATCTAAAGCAAAATAATGCTTGATACCTGGTTGCTCTAACTCTGATTTTCCTGTACACCAGGCTTACAGAATGCAAGATAGATTGTCCTATAAACACAGGGTGACTTCGAACCTTTGACCTCCAGATAATCCTCCAAGCAATTTGTGAAAACTTTAAAAAACAGATGTTGGATTTAATTAGTTCCAGGCCAGGCTCCAGGTGTCCCGGTTGCATAGTTCACATGAATGAAGGAAGGAGCTACAGAGGAGCAACAAGCCTAGAAAGGGCATCTGCAAGTAAATAGGGAACTCACCATAACAGCTCTAAGGGAGCTTTTTCAAAAATGCCCTTTGCTGATGAATGCATGTGCAGCTTAGGCAGTGATGGTATACAGACTAAAACACTGGTTCATGAACACAAGTCATTGGCCTGGTCCACATTTTTTCCCAATATTTAATACCAAAAAAAAAGAAACCAGAAATAATTAGAGTGAAACCCTTGCCCCGTTGAAGTGAATGACAAAACTCCCATTGATGTATATCAGGACAGGATTTCATCCTTAAAGGATAAATAACATCCCCTAAATTTGGTGACCTTATTATATGCTGAAGAGCTAAAATTGATATACTGGGCTGAGAGCTTGCTTTGAAATCACCTGATGTAAT